AAAGTGGTGTACAGTGAGGTAATTTGAGCTTTTCACCAGACTTAGATCTTTTTAGCACTAAATAACATGTCTGTATGCAGACAAGCCTGTAATTCTTCTATTGTATCATCTTTAGAAAAAGTACAAGGAACAGTATGAGAAGATGAAGCACAAGTATACTGCCATCCATGACACACCAATCCTGGTTCGTTCCAAGAAAGCCTACCTCAATGCCAGCGATGTAAGTCAACCAGATGCCTTATTGCTTGCTTTATTGGCCTGTCGATATCAGTAATAGAGCCCTTCTAAAAAATCAACATCATTCCTCTTTAGTTGCGCTACAAGGAGACCTTTGAGCTATCTAAGGGGCACTACCACGCTGACAAGGATGCCCTGGATATTCTCTGTGCCAAAAGGGTCAGAGATGACATCAGTGAGGTCAGTAAACTTAAAGACTTTTGGTTTGCTTTAAACATGAATGTGATTTATTGAGAAGTCCTGTCACTCACTCACTCACTCCTTTTACAGGTCAAATACAGGGAGAAGTACATCAGCACTTTGGGCACCTGGAAGTCTATCCCTGACCGCCCTGAGTTCTTCCACAGCAAGATTGTGAGGGACTTCATCAGTGACGTGAGTATAACTAAACATCCTTCTTGTTTCTGCAATTTGACAGCTCACGGCATCATTGAAAGAAACTCATGTTGCTGTTTAACTACTCTCACATGTTCTTATCCTCTTTAGATCAAATACAAAGAGGATCTGGACTGGATCAAGGGCATTGGATGCTACGTGTGGGACACACCTGAGATGGTGCATGCTGAACACAACAAGGCCCTCTACAGCGAAGTAAAGAAAAAACAAAATTTTACTCATTTATACTCATTTACTCAGTACTATGGTATATGACAAAGCCTCCACTTACTCTCTTCTATTGATTTTTATTAACAGAGACTCTACAAAGCATCTTATGAGAAGAACAGAGCCAACTTCAAATACACATGTGACACACCATTCTTTGAGGCTGCCAAGAACGCTTCA